TACATCAATCGAATACAATAAAAATACAATATATTGTGCAAAAGATTCAGTCTGAGGTGTTAAAAAATTAAAATGTTCCTGGAATCGTTGAGCGCGTCATCATTATTTACATCGGAGAAAAAAAAGGTCCCGGAACTTCCGGCCGGTCTGAGCGGAAGTAGGTACGTGGCCGCTTCAGCTGACAGTCTGCATGATGGCGACAGAGGTTCAGAGCGGCGACCTCGACACTGCTCCTTCCAGCCGGCTCGAGGTCTCCATCGACGGCCTCACTCTCAGCCCGGACTCGGAGGGCGAGCAGGGCCAGGTGGAGGAGCCGGAGCCCGAACCCGCGGATCCCGAGCCCGAGACGCCGGGAGCCGCTGGGAGCGAAGATGGAGAAACTGGCAAATCCGCGATAGAGGGGAAATGGGGCTTTCCTCTCCAAGAGCTCTACGGAATGGCGCTGAAATTCTTCAAAGGTACTTTTCTACATTTGTCACAAGAACGCAGAGAAAATGGTCAAAAAACTAAACAACCAGAAGAGCTGGCTGAGGTTAGCAGGATGCTAACTTTAGCTGCTAGCTGTCACCGCCGGGGCTCTCGCTGTCAGCCGCAACGTTCCATTAGCTTCACGGCTAACGAGAGGCTAACTAGCTGTGTTCGGTGGCTGTTAAAGGGTCAAACCAACACGTCGCTTCAGTGCGACCCGGAGGCATGTTAAATGTGCTGTTTGCATCACGGTGCCTCCCGTGCTTTGGGAGTAAACGTGTCGTATAGTGCTCAACTAGCTAGCTGCTGTAAGAGCAATGAAGTCAGACTGACGTGCGTTACTGTCTTTAATTTGGGAAAACACGCCCTGTTGTTGCGGTTGTGGCGGAAGTAGGAAGCCTGCCGGTCAGTGGTCGTGCTGGAGGAAACATTTCTGTGGATGGAGCCTGTCCCTAAGCTCCTGATGACCTGTTCACTAAGCGACGTTTGCAGTGTTCACCAGCAGCAGCAGCCTGTTTTACAACCGGACACACCACTCCCACGCTGCCACTGCTCCAGCAGGAAACACGGGATCACCTGCGTGCTCTGCATGCAGTCAAACCGGAAGGCCATTTTAGTGGGAGAGTCTTTAACCGAGAGGCTTTAGTATGACTGTCTCAACTTGCACATTGTCTGCTCAAGGCCCGGGCAACACAACAATATAAATAAGTAATGCAATTAGATTATCATCGATAGCGATACAACGGAAGTTCAGGGTGATATATTGCTTATGCATTGAGTTTTCAAGTGTTTATCATGGTCTGCCCATAAACAAGAGTTTAAAATCTATCTATTCTACGCTCAAAATAAGTGTTATGGTCGCCCTTTGTTACGATGTGGTTGCGCCTAATTTGGCCCTGTGATAAGCTGAGCAGCAGCATTTTGTATTAATTGAAGAGGATGGAGGAAGCTCTTGCTGATACTCCAGTAAAGTGCATTACCGTGAACTAGACGAGGCCCCTGTGTCTCACCCTAAGTGATTTCTGGTCAGTGGTTACTTTGCAAGCATCCTGAACATGTGTCAGGCATTTTTTAACACCAGATACTGATCTGTGTTTGTACACACAAATCTTCTTGCCTCAACTTAGCTTCAACAAAAATTGCAATGTGATACTAACATGTTATTTTCACAAATCAAAGCGCAAGTATTTTTTTGCAAAGGGTAAAGAGCTCGATCAACAGTGCAGGTTGTTCTTGAAACAGGAATACGATAACCTGCATGCCACTGCTGTTGAAAACACAAAGGTGTATTGTAGTGTTAACCAATGCTTGTCACAGCAGGACATTAAAAACACTGCTAACTTGTTACTTCCACTCTGCTCCCCTCAGATAAAGATGGCAAGGCTTTCCACCCAACCTACGAGGAGAAGCTTCGACTGGTGGCGCTCCACAAACAGGTGTTACTGGGCCCTTATAATCCTGACGCTTCGCCGGAGGTCGGCTTCTTTGATGTCCTAGGCAATGACCGCAGGTAACTCCAGCAGACATCTGCGTGTGTCTTTGTGCCTGTGCATGTGACCTTTGAACTACTGAGGACATTACAGTAATTGAGCTGTTTTTCAGGAAACACACATGCCTTTTCATTCAGTAATTTGTTGAGTCTATTTAACTCTTGATGGTCACTTCTTACGTCCCAATGAATTAAACATTTTGTAAATCCTTGGATGAAATTTAGCCTGCTTTACTGCACCACTTTCAAGGAATTCTAATTTTCTGACACGGTTCTTAAAAATTAGATTCCCGACCAATATGGATTCTTGGGGGCAAATGCCAAATTCGATGCCAATGTGTATGTATATTGGCC